TTTTATACTTGGAATAGAAGTTCAAACGTTCAGATATACATGTAACTACAGGAGCAAGATGTATTTTATCTTTGCAGTAATACCGTTCTTCTTACAGCTTCTTTCAGTTCTTTGCGGGAAACTGAATATTAAAGTTTTGTTGACACTTACGTGTACGCGATTATTTTTACTTCCCACGCATTTTGATTGGCTATATATATAAATTCAAATAAAGTGTGGTGATGGGCGGTAAACGACTTAATAAACGTGATATTTGCTGTGATGGTGTAGTGTACTCAGGTGAATAAGATGCTTGTGATGTTACGCTGAGTGTATATCCGCACCGGACAGGCTTGAAAAATATGGCAGTAATCAGGAGTCGATTAAGTCGATCAATGGCAGTAATCAGGAGTCGATTCATCAGTTAGCGCATGGGCAAGTCAACTCACCTCACCGTACCTCACCGAACACACCTCACCGTACCAAGATTTCTATATTGAGAGACTCAATGATAAAGCATGTTCAATCTCGGCTAATTCGGCGGGCCGTGAGTACTAGTAAATCTGTCTACATCCGCTCTTTTCCGGGGGCAAAATCTTTAGATATGACAGACTTTGCAAGACCAACTATGAGGGACAACCCGGACCACATTATAATACATATTGGTACAAATGATGTACGCCAATGTAATCCAGAAGATGTCATTAGAAATGTTGAAAACTTGTGCAATCAGATCAAAGACCAATGTCCCCGGACTACCATATCACTATCGGAACTGATTGTTCGCAATGACTTTCCTGATGCTACTACTAAGATCAGCAAAATTAATAATGAACTGTTATGCCTTAGTAGATCTAAAGGCTATTATCTAATTAATAATTCAAACATCAGTGTGCAAAATCTTGATAGATATGGCCTTCATTTAAATGGTAGTGGTGTGGACACTCAAATTACTAACAACTTTATAAATCATATTAATTGTTTTTAGCGATTTTCAATTAGTTACTTTCTCCTACCTCAATTGCTGCAATGACAACGACATTGCTGACCTGCTCTCGTCCAATGTTAACGATTCCTCTTTTACTATTCGTGATGAAACCTTGTCCGAAAAGGACCTTCTCTCAGTAATTCCAACCAAAGGTCTAACATTTTTTTATCTAAATATCCAGGCCATTACAAACAAACTTGATGCTGTGAAACTCTTAATTTTAAATTGCACAATCAGTCGACAAAAAAGCAATATAATCTTCTGTTTCGCAGAAACGCATCTCAATCCCACTTGGTCTGATTCCGAAGTATCTATTGACGGCTATCATTGTGTAAGAAGAGATCGAATCACCTCCAAAGGTGGTGGTCTCATTGTCTATATTCCCTATGCTCTCAATTTTAACATTCGTTCTGATATTCAAGTTTCGGATGAATATTACGAAATAGAATACTTGTGGATTGAATTCCTTTTCCAAAATTCCAAATCCATTTTGGTTAATTTTCTTTATCAGCCGGATACTAGTAACAAGTGGAGAGCTCAATTTGAAAACTTGCTGAAAATAGCTGACAATGAGGATAAAGAAATCCTAATACTTGGTGATTTCAATTGTAATGTGCTTGATAAAAGCAAATATAGATTCCTACGCCAACTCGTCTCACAATATCAGCTCAAACAACTAATTAATAACATAACACGACCCGTCTCGGGAACTTTAATTGATCATATTCACACCTCTAATGATTGGACTTAGCGACCACTTCCCCATATATATAACTCGTAAAGTTAATCCACACATATTTAGTAACCAGAAATATCACCAAGCTATAACTTACCGTAGAACTAAGCATTTAAATGTTACTTGGTTCTGTAGTGACCTTGATACTCTGCCTTCTACCACATTAGAAATATTTGACTCTCCTGACGATCGATCAACTTGAAATATTTTATGAACATTTTAATTCGGTATTAAATACCCATGCACCTCTCATAAAAAAACGAGTCAAATCTAAGAAACGTCCGGGATGTTTTTGTGTAGAAATCCGCATAGCTCAACACAATCGCGATTACTATCTTAAAATGGCCCGGAAGAATGCGAATGATGCTCACAATACTAATTGGTCCCAATATAAGACTTGGCGCAATAGGTCTGTACACTTGATCAGGAATGCAAAAAACTCCTATATAAAAACACTTCTTAATGACAATTCTACGAATTCTAAACAAATTTGGCGAGTTTTGAAAGCAACTATAAATCTTAATAAGGCTCCTCCCCCTCTATCTTTAGTTATTGATAATGTGAGATATGACATCCTTGCAATTGTCAGTAATCTCTTTAATGAATATTTTACCAACATTCAGGACAAATTTGACATGAGTGAGGCTGTTGACTACAGTCGGTCAGCCTTCTCGTTATCTGTTAGGCAAACTAAATTTAGTATCCCCCCTATTACTATTGAGGAGGTTTCTGATTCCCTGAAACAATTGAAATCCTCTAAAGCGACAGGAATTGTTGTCTTCCCGCCCACTTCCTAAAGTTCCCTGCTAACATGATCTCCAATACTGTTACCACTATATGCAACTTAAGCATCAGCACAGGTATTTTTCTAGCCTTGTGGAAAAAAGCAAATTAATGCCAATACTCAAATCTGGCGAAATGAGTGAAAGAGGCAACTTTAGACCAATTTCTATCCTGGTTATTCTCTCAAAAATCCTTGAAAAACATGTGTTTAATTCATATTTTTTATATTTAACTGAGCATGAAATTCTATCCGATTATCAACATGGGTTCGTCAGACTTGGCCACTCGTGTGAAACGTCATTAAACATGATTTACGAATACCTTGTTAACAATATTGATAATGGAGAAATTAACGGTGTTTTGATGCTTGACTTTTCCAAAGCCTTCGATTTAGTGGATCATAATATTTTGCTCCAAAAATCCACGCGTACGGGGCTACTGACCTAACCCTAAAATGGTTTGCCTCGTATCTTGAAGGACGAACTCAACAGGTACAAATTAACGAAGTCCTTTCAGAACCTTTAACAATCATTACTAGGGTCCCTCAAGGTTCCATTCTTGGCCCGTTACTATTCTTAATATTTAGCAATGATCTTCCATCTTTTCTTACTACCTCTCATCCTTCTCTTTTTGCGGATGACTCGACTCTTTTAGCCCATGGCTGCGAGCTACCTGATATCAAAGCTTCTTAATTGTCGACTGATTTGTGTATTATCTCTAATTGGGCAAGAAGCAACCATATGGCTGTAAATTTTAGCAAAACCAAATTCATGAAAATTAATTCAAAGCGTAAGTATTCACTGCTTGATTATGATAGCATACTTTATGAGGATTTTTGGATTGAAGAAATTACTTCTGGCAAACTTTTAGGTATCTTACTCGATAAAAATCTCTTCTGGGACAACCAAGTGGATAAGATATATAAATACCTTAATTCCAGGCTTTATCTGTTTAAGCGTATTTGCCCAGCCCTTCCACTGAAATGTAGAATTAAGTTTTACTATGCTTTTATCTACCCCCATTTACTTTATGGCATCACTATTTGGGGCAATGCACGCCATGAGCTTATATCGACCCTTTGCTTAAACTTCAAAAAAGAGCAGCCAGATTGGCTTTGGACGAGAGTATGTCAACTCCTTCTGTTGATCTGTTCCGCAAACTGGAATGGGACATTTGGTAAAGAATTGAAAAGTAAAACACCACTGTATGAGAGTTTGGTCTTGGAAAGATTAGATTTGACAGATGGTATTTTAAGATCAGTAACAGAGTAGCGAGTATGTACATCGTGCGATGCCCCAGAGAAACAAAACAACTCGCGTAGATCACTAGCTAGGAAATGAGCTGCGCAAGGTGCTTACAACGAGTAAAACTTTTCGCATCTTAATTAAGTTGTATTATTATTATTAAATAATAATAATAATACAACTTAATTAAGATGCGAAAAATTTTACTCGTTGTAAGCACCTTGCGCAGCTCATCTCCTAGTGATTTGCGCGAGTTGTTTTGTTTCTCTGGGGCATCGCACGATGTACATACTCGCTCCTCTGTTACTGATCTTAAAATACCATCTGTCAAATCTAATCTTTCCAAGACCAAACTCTCATACAGTGGTGTTTTACTTTTCAATTCTTTACCAAATGACCTGAAAGTGTTTAACGATTACTCCCCGTCTGCGTATAAGCATAAAGTTAAGAGGTTTTTCTCTAATCTTAATCATGAGGTTGACCATCTTGAACCATTTTCGTGTCTTTCTTGCAAAAACCTAGTTAATTAAGTGCATTTGTTACTCGCACTGAATTTTCTTTTAATTTTTAATAACTTATATTGTCAAAACAAAAAAAAAACCCACATTATGCATGCTTAGTAATACAGTTATTTTCGTATTTGGTACTATAAGTTGTATAGTCCCATGTGCTGTGTCAAATGCAACTATAGTCTTGCTTCTTTGTATATATTGTAAATACTGTAGGTTATCTAATTTTTAGAGGGCCATTTGGTAGAATACCTTCATAGGTAAAAATGTATATTTACCCTCATCAAATAAAGTTTATTATTATTATATGCCTGGCCACGGTAGGAATCGAACCTACGACCTTTGGAATACTAGCCCAATGCTCTGCCAACTGAGCTACGCGGTCAGGTCGGTTCGAGTATGTGATATTTCGGAACTGAGTCTAGTTCCTTCAATATCAGTGTAATCTAATAATCATGATATTTGCTGTGTTGGTGTAGTGTACTCAGGTGAATAAGATGCTTGTGATGTTACTCTGAGTGTATATCCACACCGGGCAGGCTTGAAAAATACGCCTGGCCACGGTGGGAATCGAACCTACGACCTTTGGAATACTAGCCAATGCTCTGCCAACTGAGTACATTTCACCTGAGGCTGAGTACACTTCACCATACTATTCACCTGAGTACACTACACCAACACAGCAAATATCATGATTATTAGATTACACTGATATCGAAGGAACTAGACTCAGTTCCGAAATATCACATACTCGAACCGACCTGACCGCGTAGCTCTAGGACTAGGTTGTTGCAATACGTCTTGTATAGGTTAGAACAGACAAAGCCAAAAGTAAGCCAAAAGAAATTGCTAACGCAAACACAGAGAAGTCTGTCAAAACGACATATTGTTGGTGATTCTATGATTAAACATTTGGATTGTCATAGACTAAACGCTTCTTTTTTTAATATATATTAACGACATTTGTAATGCCTCAAGTAGTTCTCAATTAATCCTATTTGCGGACGACACAAATTTATTCTATTCTCACAAAGACTTACAGTTCCTATAGTTAATCATGTCAATCGTGAACTAATTAAATTATTGTCATGGTTCTCAGCAAATAAATTATCTATAAACTTGAAAAAAACCAATTTTATGATTTTTAAGCCAAAGCAAAAATAGTATTATATTAATCCCAAAATTGCCTTAAATAATTAAATAACTATGAAATAGATTTGGTCAATGAAGCTAGCTTTCTTGGGGTAATCTTAGACGAACATCTGACATGGAAATCACACATTGCACAAACTTCTAGGAAAATGTCCAAATCGGTCGGAATTATAAAGAAAGCCAGTTTTTATCTCCATACAAGAGCACTAGTTATGTTATATTATTCCCTTGTTTATCCGTATATGCAATTGTATTTTAGTATGGGGCTCAATTACTTACCCATCCAATCTAAACCGTATTGTTTTACCACAGAAACGTCTGATAAGAATTGTATATAAAGCGTCATATGACGCTCACACCAAACCTTTTTTCAAGGAACTTGGAATTCTCCCTTTTGATAAAATTATCTCTTTCATTTAGGCAAATTCATGTACCAGTTTCACTGTCGATTGTTACCGCACAATTCTGAAATTTTTTTCCAAAATATCAATCAGGTGCACAATTACTACACACGTAATTCAAAGTTATACTTTCTTCCTTTCTGTAGAACAAATATTAGACAATTTTCTATCAGCTACCAAGGCGTTAAATTCTTTAACTCTCTCCCTCAGGATATCTGTGAAGCTTCATCCGTTTTTAGTTTTCGGAAAAAAACTTAAAGAATATCTTTTTAATCTTTAACATATTATCCTCTAAATCCCTAACACCTAATTTCTATAATAGTGTTCATTATACCTATAAATTATTTATACCACCCTTGTTAAATCTCTCTTTTTTTTTATTTCTGACATTACACGTAATATATTTATTTTTGAACTTTGAACAACTAGTTCCAATTTATTATATAAACAAGACGCTCTATGGAGCATTAACTCGCTGGGGCTATACAAATGAAAACTAAATTTTGTCACCATATTTGCTCATAATTTGGTAACCGCTACAGAAAAACAGAACAATTTACAGAAACGAAGACGCCAGATAAGACCTCGGTTGGCAAAATGTCCTCTCAAGTGAGTTTTGTTTCAACCTCGGTCCCAGGGTCTTTCTTAGAACGGCGTGAGTCGGTTGGTTTTGTTTACTTGTTTTTGTGATATGCATTGTGCATAATTCAGACTAATTGTAACGGGGAATTTGTATATTTTGCCTGCGAAGGACGAAGAAACATTGTTCTTCTTTTCAGGCAACGCATGCTGTGCTTTTGTCCTTCACATGGAAAACATGCAAATTCCGCTTATATAGAATATGTTTGGTAAACTATATTTAAAATCAAACTTATCATGTTTAGCAACAATATTTGACACAGATTAATTTTTGAGATATTGTGCCCCAATGGCAATGCACCCTACTTTATTATTTTAATATCTCGATTTTGCTTGTCAAGGGGAGAGTGCTGCCACTCTCAAATTCGCTAGGTTTGTATTGCAGGTAGGTGGCTCAGTTTTGAAGTTTTTGTTAATAGGTGAATTAGTTTTGATCCAGGCCTAGGACAGTATAATGACCCAAGGTCAGGAGTTTATAGAACCAGACACAGTACTAAAATGCGGTGTCCTACAAATAAAACTTCCGGCGTTTCCGCCGTACAGTAAAGTTATATTTAGTACGCTACATTCTTCTGCGACTGTCGGCCGCCAGTTGGTCCGTATGCTAGGATTAAACTGTTCTTTAATAAACGTTCAAAATAAAATATTTTTGGCCTTTTGAGACGAATCCACTGGTATACGGCCGAAAAGGAGAAAACCAACGATACCAAAAGTTATCAAGGATCAAATATACTGCATTTTTTATAATTAAGGGAAGCCTCACATATCGATTTTTCCCACGAGAAACGTCATATCTTCGTTTGGGGTTAGCAGCTGTGACGTTTCTCTGTAAATATCATGGGAAAATCCGATAGTTTTTTCGAAAGCCTTAACATTTCGAAATCCTCTTTGCAGAGTATAAAAAAGAAAACAACTTGATACAAACACCAGTCTATAGGCCTACATTCGTAATACCATACCTGTTCTACACGTATACATTTATATTATTACGCCTTCCTTGCATTGAAAACACACAAATTTCAAGAAAACCGCGCTAAAATTATCAATATTTTATATTTCATGCAAAAAAAGTTGTTTTGAGAAACGTTGGAAATTTTGAAGTTCATATATATTAATATATTATAGAAAAAAGATATGTCAGCAGAAGATGACATATAATTATTCCTCGCGGAAGCGTCGCCAATATAGTAGAAAATTACCTTATGTGTACTATATTGAACAAAATATCGATAACTATGTGTGCATGACGTTTCTAAGGGGTCTTCAGAGAAACGAACATTTGACGTTTCTCATGGACGAAATCGATATGTGAGGCTTCCCTAAGTTAGTTTAATATTAATTTTGAGCAATTTGTCAACAATACAATTTCGCTTGGCTTTCAAAGACAAAGTCAAAGGCCATAAATCGCTAGAATACTGTTGTTTAGTAAATACATTTAACATTCGTTAGTACAATTTCTTACGCTGAATCGAACGGTGGTATTTTTATTCTTATTGCGCCATTAGACATTACAAATACAAGGACAAACGTACTGGCCGTACTGCGAGTGATTACTGTGATTTGTCAAGGCTAGAATGCTCTTGTGTAGACTTCAATGACCTCGGCAGCAAGCACAATCAAAAGGCATGTCCTATTGCAAACCGCGCATGCCACAGCAGTAAGTGTAGATGGTTCTAAATCAGTGGTTGTAAAGATTCTCTTTGACAGCGGAAGTCAACGTTCGTATATAACGGGCAGTCTTAGGTCCAAGTTAGATTTAAAGCCGGAGAAGAGCGAGACTCTACATTTGAACACTTTTGGGGATAGTAAATACAAAACACAGAAGTGTCGAGTGTTCACGCTAAATTTCAAAACTCGTCATGGTGAAATTTCGCCGATTTTTGCGTTAAACGTTCCTGTTATTTGCACCCCTGATTTGAGACAAAATTTGACATTTCTGAGTACCCACATTTGCAGGACTTAGATCTGGCTGATTGCCCAAGTGACGATCGACGTTGTATCGATGTTTTAATTGGTTCCGATCATTATTGGGACTTTATCACCGGGGAAGTTATTCGGGGGGAAAATGGTCCCTTTGCAATTGCTAGCAAGTTTGGTTCGGTACTGTCTGGCCCAAGCGATACCCCAGCTGGCTTCAACGATATTGAAGTTGCCAACAATCTCGTCATTTCAGGGGGGAGTGAATTCAATTATTCAAATGAAACTCGAGATGAAATAACGCATGAACTGAAACGTTTTGGGGATGTCGAGGCCATTGGGATTTGTGACGAAGGGATGGGTGAATCAAACCCTGTCTCTAGCGAGTTGTTCTCTGACGTAGTGTTTAATGGGCAACGTTACGAAGTAAGTCTGCCGTGGAAGCATGGTCGTTTATCCCTACCCAGCAATTACGAATCGTGCAACAGCCGTTTATTGTCCTTGTACCGTAAATTACGAAATCAACCAATCCTACTCGGTGAATACAATAAAATCATTCAAGATCAGCTCGAGGCTGATGTTGTCGAAAGAGTTTCGGAAACGAGAGTAACTCCCTAAATAGCATAGGAACTCATTACTCCCCCCACCACCCTGTCATCCGCCAGGACAAAGATACGACTAAGATTCGCATAGTTTATGATGGTTCAGCCAAGTCAGGATCGCAAGAGCAATCTTTGAACGACTGTCTAGAAACTAGACGAATTATATTCCTTATCTGTTCGATATGCTCGGGAGATTTCGATCCAACCCCATCGCGATTACGGCTGATATCGAGAAGGCATTTCTTATGGTCGGCATAAACAACGAACACAGGGACATCTTCGTTTTCTTTGGTTTGACGACCCCTTAGTGATGATCCTGCAACAGTTGTTCTTATATTTAATCGTTTGATGTTCGGGCTTAGGCCATCCCCTTCGATTTTGGGATCTGTAATACAACATCACTTCGACTCGTACAAGAAAAGCGAACCCGAAATGGCGGAGCTACTATCGAAAGCGTTCTACGTTGACGATTTAGTGACGGGGGAGAAAAATGTCTCGAAGGCGTTTGATATCTACGAAAGACCGAAGGAGATAATGGCAACTAGTCAAGAGACCGGTACAGGAGACGCTGTCAAAGTATTAGGTGTTCGTTGGAATACCTGCTCGGACACGATTTCATTTGATTTTTCAGAAATGCAAGATTATGCAAATTCGTTACCCTTTACGAAGCGTTCTTTGCTAAAAGTTGTAGCCAAGATCTTCGATCCACTCGGTCTGCTTTCTCCGTTCACGGTAATGTTAAAGATTTTATTTCAAATCCTTTGTCTCGATCAAGTAGACTGGGACCAAGAACTAAATGGCGAGTTAATGCTGAAATTTTTGACCAGAGATTGTTCATTTAAATTCAATACGAGTTCCCAGGTATTATTTCTGCACGGACACGAACCCGGTAACAGTCGAGTTTTAGCGATACTTCAAAACAAGCGTACGGCGCAGTAGTCTACTTTCGATCTGTTTACGGCGACGGCCGAATTCAAATTTCGTTAGTTGCTGCAAAAACGAGTTGCACCAACCAAACGACAAAGTATTCCGCGTTTAGAGTTGTTAGGGGCGTTGATTCTCGCGAGATTAACCAGGAAAATAAAGGATATTCTTGGTGAGATCGACACTACTCACTGGGTGGATTCGACAGCGGCGTTATGTTGGATAAAAAATGATCGAGCCTGGAAGCAGCATATTCGAAATAGAGTTGCAGAGATTCGAAGCTTAACATCTGTTGATTCGTGGCGATTTTCTCCAGGTACTCAAAATCCCGCTGACCTGTCGTCTCGTGGACTCGAAGCCAAGGAATTCTCATGTAATGAAATGTGGTGGAAGGGTCCAGACTTCCTCTATCATTTGCCCGCGACCTGGCCCAATGACGTAACGGCAAAAGGAAGCACAATCAACGAGGACGCAGCAGTAGAAATGGTTAAACGACCACTCGAAGTTATTCATACCTTGACGATCAACGAAGCAAGTCCGGACTACAATGATGTAGCAAAGGTCATTGATATTAAACGATACAGTTGTCTAACGCGATTGCTACGAGTTACAGCGTATGTACTTCGATTTATACGAAATGCAAGAGTTCAACACAACAATCGATCTGAAACAACGAAGGATCTAAACGGAAAGGAGATAAGTGAAGCTGAAACTCTTTGGATCAAGTCCGTACAACGTGAGTCGTTTCCATCTGAACACAAAGTTCTGACGAAAGGTTCTAAGCAACTATCGAACACGACTTATATGAGCCAGTTTGGTCTCTTTTGCGATGAAAGCGGTGTTATTCGATGTTGATTGATTGATTGATTGATTTTAATAATTACCACATTGTAAATTAATAAAAATTTTAAAAACGTGATATTACATAGATAGTATTAAAATTTTTAAATTTGCAAAAAGTTCAATTTAAAACTACTATAATATAAACTATATTAATGATATGTACTATAAAATATTTTGTTATGTCTATGGTCGGTCCCAGTTTCTAACACACTTTGGGATAAAACTGTTCTTATATCGTTCAGTTTTGCACTTATACATAGGATAAGTGCGTTTATTTCTTAGACTGAATTTGTGAGATATAGCACTGGGAAGTAGCGTTCTCAACTTATCGTCTGAGTGTTGATGGATATTCTTATAGAATGACAAGCACTGATTCTCTCTTCGCTGGTAAAGGAGGAGGACTGGGGGAAAGCGATTTTCAATGCACGTTTTTGTATACTCTCGATTTGATCAGCGAGGAATTGAGGGAGAGAAAAATGCCATACAGGTTAGGCGTATTCCAAAACTGGACGAATAAATGCACAAAAGACCGTTATTAAATCATTGGCTGGGGCACCAGATCGTTTGAGGATCCTTAGAGCATAAAGACGTTTACTTGCTTTGGTGCAGATGTAATCAATGTGCTCATTCCAGGTAAGATCCGATGATATTATCACTCCCAGAAGTTTAAAGGTCTGGACGATTTCTATGTTTAAACCAGATGAAGAGAGGGCATCGAATACCATAGGGACTCTAAGAAAGGATATACGCAGTTCTTTGGTTTTAGATACATTAAGCCGCATGTTGTTGTGATTGGTCCAGTCATTTATAGTGTTTATATTAGCTTGAAGCGATGAAGTAGGGGACGATCTTGAAACGATTTCGT